TCTATTGACTCCTATTGTTACTTCCTAGTGTTTGGATTATATGATGATTGTGCTAGTTACTTTAACTTGAGAGTCGGGTCTGAACTGCCCTGAGTAAGTCATGTGCATTGTGTGAGGTGAGATTTTGATTGTAATTTGTGTCATCCCTTGTTAGTCTAGAACTTTCCCCATGTATGAGTCAAAGCGAAATGATTAAGTCTTGTGAGTCTAGGAAATGGTATAGGTGTTTCTTTGATTGACCCTTTGCTTTCCAGTGAGAACATTATTTGTATTCAGCCCTTTTAAGCATGTAGACCTTTTTCTTTGGTACCCGCATAACGAGCCAACCCCTATCTTGTTCTAAATTGTATATTGTGCACCCTTTACCTTCGAATACACTTAAATTGCTGAAAGAGTAAAGAAAGAGATTGGATAGTTTTTGAGTGGAGCAATAGAAAGGCCGTCAAGGTGTATTTGTGGGTAAAAGCCTTACTAGCCGGAAATACCAAATTAAGGAGAGTGTGAAAAAAGGAGGAAAAAACACAAAAAAATAAAAAAATGAAAATGAATGACACCTTTCATATCTTTATCTGGGCTAGTGAGTATCTATATTTTGATATTCTTAATGAAGAAGGGCTTAAATATGTATAATTTCATGGTAAGACATGAAATTGGTCATGACAAGAATGTGCTTGAAAGTGAAGTGTGGTGTATTAAAGTGCTTAGGAGGGCTAGTCATTAATTTTTCAAATATATCATACCCGTCCCTTAGCCTACATTACAACATTTAAAGTACTACTTAATGCTAGAATTTGCAAGCTTAAATTAGTTTCCCAAATTGGGTGGCATAAGAGTTTCGTTGTGAGAGTGAGCGAATTCTTTCAATATTTGAGTCCTTAGACTATACTTAAACTTATATTTGAGTGTGTGGACAATTTTCTCTATGTGGTTTGTTGTTGAAGGTACATGATTTGTAAAGGATTGGTAAAGTCTTTGATTTTTGAGTTTCACAAGAAGAAAGTCATAATATGAAATGTATTGGAGTCAATTTTTGAGGCTAGGATGTTAGAAGAGTCACACAAATACTTTAAATAGTAGCGGCACTAGGCTAAAAATGAGAAAAGTATGAAGAGTGCATATGTTGGATTCTAAGTGTTGATATACACCATTATCATGATATGATGCTTGAGTATGTTTTGAAATTGTGTTACTTGCCAATGTGCTTAATTTTAAGTTGCTTTAGGACGAGCAAGAGCCTAAGTGTGATATAGTGATAAATGATGAAAAATGCATATTTTTGAGTATGTTTGCATATTAGTTCTTATGTGAGTTGTGGGAGATCACGTATTTATAAACATAAAATATGCTCATTACGTGTTTATTGTATTTAGGAATGAGTTTGGATGGAAGTTGGCGAAAGCGGATGATTTGGTGCAAAAAGAAGTTGAGATGCAAGAGTTGGGAGCATGCTACAACTAGTGCATTACATGAAAGGTAGGCGCGAAATGGCCTAAAAAGTGAATCAAAACCAGTGAAGCATGACACGTGCACCAACCCCCAGCATGCAAAAGAAACAAAGAAGACAAAAAAAAAACTAGGAGCGTGCCTAGGGGTTGCGCATTGCATGAGCCCTAGGCACGCGACTCAACTTCTTCTTTTCGAGATAGGAGTGCTCAAGGACGCCTCATGCAAAATCTAATTGATATAAATACATCATAAAACGTCCTTTTGAGGTGAGATACACTACTTTAAGGTAAGACAACACCTAAAGAGGCGAGAACACGCTAGTAGCAAAGATGAAGATTCAACTACGAGTTTTCTTTCTCTTCTTCTTGTTTTTCATTGTTGGTTATATCTTTTAGTATTATAATTTTACATACTATTATGAGTAGATAATTTATTATCTAGAGTTTTGATGGAACCTTTTGGAGGATGAGTTCTTGTTACGTTTTTATATAATTTAGCTTTTGGGTTTCTCTACTTGTTTAACTACGTGTTTATTTCAGTTGATTGAATGCCCTTCGGTTAACTGTGCCTGTTTAATATGTATTTCTTGAGAAAGGGTATATATAGGTGGTTTCTAAACAACGTTACTCCTACCATATACAAGAAATCAGTATTAGGGGTTTAAAGGTAGGTTTATGAATAACAAAGCCTTGATGTGGCCATATTGAGCCGTATGATAAAGCCAGATAACGTAGTTCGAGAGAATATGTCTAGTAAATTATTGTAGTTGCTCGTAAGAGAATTACGATATATTAAGTGCTTACGATCAGTAGAGACTACTTAGACAAACTTACATGAGATGTAGCAGGAATGATTCCGACATTTGAAAAAAATCATAACTTTAGACCTCCTTAATCTTGTGTCCAACACTTAGTACCGATAGTTGTTAATTTACTACTTTAATTTGTTAGTTAATTAGTTAGACATAAGAATCTTTATATTTATAACTTAAGAATTGTTCGATCTTGTCTTCTTAGTGACAATGGTGAATGGACAGTTGTAGCTAAATCTTAGTTCTCTCCGGGATTCGATTCCGGACTTTTAGATCAGATTATATTTGTAGCGATCGCTTAGCCTTTTTAGGACTAGAGTTGGGTAAATTAAAGGCAAAAGTACGCGTTCGCGCGATATTGATAAAATTATCTTATAAAGTGTTATTAATTGTGTACACGTAAGTGTGACATGATTCTTAACGCACCAAACAAAATGAGTATACTTATGCGAGGCTTATTTCAAGATAAATTCCACAAATCCTTAAATAAGAAAATAAAAACAATTTAATAACATAAAATACCTAAAACATAGAATATTCGGGTTAATTAAGCCAATAGTTAAGTGATCTTGCTAAAATCACGAAACTTGGGAGAGCCTTACACCTTCTCCCGGATTAATAGAACTCCTTTAAAATAATAAATCAATCCCTTTTCAAACAATATCACTTTAATTGAAAAAACTCATCCTTTCACGATCCCGAAAAAGGAGGCTTGACAATTACCAATACACTCTTTTCTACCCTATTTCTAGATTTGTGTTTGTTGTTCAATTTCCATTTCCCTGCTCATATCAGATCAGGAGATATATGTAACAATAACATAAAAGATAAAATAAAAATCCTTTCATACAAAATTGATTAATCAAAGTAAGATTTTCATAATTGCTAATTTATGATTAACACATTAGAAAAAGATCAATATACATTCATAATTTTAATATTTTAATTTCAATCATGGAAATCATAGAGAAAATACGACTTTGAAATTTAAAAGAAAGTTAAAGAATAAAAGTAAAATAGATATGAATTATAACTTTATACAATATTATAATGTAACTTTCGTTTGGAAAAAATGTAATAATTGATAATTATTGGAAATTAATTTTGACATTTAAAATTTTCAACAAGAGTTATATTATTTTGGCCGTCAAATATAAGGTTAACTTAAGTTGTTTGTTCGGTTCAAAAGGTAAAAAGAATATTATTTATCAGAGTCAAAAAGTTAAGACCTTTATATGAATTTTACTCTAAAACTTACACATCAAGAGTTAGACTTAAAAATACTATAAATTACACTAAGATTCATTATTTGATAAATAGAGTAATAATATGTTGTAATTTGCAAAAATTGCGTTGATAATTTGAAAGTATAAAGATTATATTTCGAAGCTTAGTTTTTGTATGTTAATGGTGTATAGAGGTGGTAATATGGATTAAAAAAAAACAGTTATACATCCATATTATCTACTAAAAGATGAGTTGGATAATAAACTTTTTTAAAACGGATCAAATATGGATAAGAACCATATTATCCACTTAGAAAATGGATAACCAGTGGATAACAATTGGATAACTAATGAGTTTAACTTTTACATTGTAATGACTCAAATTGGGGGTTTCTCAAGTTTGAGAGACTACGAAGTCTCCCAAAAATGATAATATTCAAGAAGCCATGAATAATATGAATGTCCACATTATCTACCAGTTAACCCATTTTCTATTTGTGTTAAAAATGGATTGAGTAGAATAATTTATCCATTTTTGCATTACCTATTTTCGACCTGTCCATATCTAACCCGACCCTCCGGTTTGCCACCCCTAATGGTGTATAAATTTTTCTATATAATAGTATTAAGTTGACCTACAAGTAACAAGAATAGATAACCTTTATTATCAAGAGCTTGTTTGGCCAAACTACAAAAATTTAAAGTGTTCAAAAGTGTTTTTCCTCTAAAAAATGCTTTTAAAATGTCAAATTACGAAAAAGTAAGTATATACTTTCTTTACAATTAATATTATTCAAATGAAAAAAGTTAAATTATTTATTATTAGAGACCTTACTTAAATCTTTTAATTTTATTTAATTAAAATATTTCACCATCTGTTTGAAATTTAGTGAGATTTGTGAAACAGGAGAGCACAGAGACAATGGAGAAAGCCACGGTAATTAATGAGAAAGGGGATAATCCTCCAATGGCTGATTTCTCTTTTGAAATCAATAAATGATAGTTTTGTAAATAAAAGTTAGTGATCATATTTTAGCTTGAATAATTTATGTTCTGCTTATGTGTCAGAAGATAGGAAATTGATAGTTTTGTAAATAAAAATTAATGATAAGGATATTGTTGTATTGAAGTAATTAGTTTTCTGTTTTTACCTATGGGACCCACAGCAAAAAATCTGCTTCTAGTGCTGCTCTAAATTTAGTGGGCGTTTGGACATAAGAATTGTAATTTTTTTTAAAAAAGTAAAAGAATTTCTCAAGTGAAAATAATATTTGAAAGTTAGAGTGATGTTTGGACATGAATATAATTTTGGGTTATTTTTAAAATTTTATGAGTGATTTAAGTGAAAATTTTGAAAAATAACATTTTGGAGTTATTTTAAAATTAATAGTAAAATTAAAATTTTTATGCCCAAACACTAATTTAAGAAAAGTAAAAAAAATTCGAAAAAAATAAAAAAATTCTTATGTAAAAATTAAGTTCTCTATAATTTAAAAATTCTATACATTGGGAGCATATATAATGCTTAAATCCGTACGCGGGTAAGTCAGAGTACAAGAATCAAGAAAAGAGTGGATAAGCTACTCAAATCTTACTCAATTTTCTCTCTGCTCTCAACAATGGAAGCTCTAGCTCATGGGCATCTACCCCTCAGTGCTCTTAGAACATGTCAAAAAGAACATAGGTGTCATCATGTCGGTTCAATCCATTTTCTTACCTCTCCAGTTCCATCTTCTCTTAAATTCAGTGCACCCATAAAGGTTCGTGTATCTAGTTTTTTTTTTTTTTTTTTTTTTTTTGTTCTAGCTGATTTGAGCATTTTATCAAACACTAGGTGTGCAAATTTGGATACAAGGTTCTTCTACANTTTTTTTTTTTTTTTTTTTTTTTTTTTCATTTCGTTTGTATTTATTGCTAGTTGAGATTTCTGAATTGGGGTATGTTTGGTTTGGTTCAGTATAGAAGTGGCATTATAAGGATGCAAGAAAAATATGAGTTGAAGCAAATGAAAGATATGGCTGCTGCTAAAAAGAGATGGGACTCTCTGGTATTTTTCTCAGACTAATATTCCAATATTTCTTTTGACAGACATGTAGATGGAGATAGATCAAAATTAAGGGTTAATTTGTATGCTATAGGATGAAATTACTGCCCGGTTGCAATTTAAGTTATATACACTACAGTGTAATGAATTTTTTACACTCTCACTGTAATTTCACTTGTTATTTACCTTCGGCTTCGTTTAAAGAGTAAAAGCGTTGCTTAGTTCACGTTTCGGATAATAATGATAGAAAAGTTAAAGAGAATCTTTGATGGAGTTGTGGATGGATGGGAAAACTAGAGGGGATGATTATTGCAATTAAAGAATGTCTTCCAAGCCCCATCCTCCTAGGTGATGAGTTATATCACAGTTTCAACTTGTTAGAAACTATAAGTCGTGTAATCAATTAATTTGTGCTGTACGGAAACATCTTAAGCCATGATTTATACTTTATTAAGTTCTTCAATGTTATACTATGAGAATAACATCTGTGTTCCCTTTTTGTTCTAGATCAGAGATGGGAAAGTTAAAGTTCTTACCCCAAGGGAAGCTGGTTATGCAATTCAACTCTCAAACAAAACGCTGCTTGATGTTCGTCCCTCTATGGAGCGAAAGAAGGTGGATTCGACGTTCCTTCAAAAACCACTTCTCTCTACTATCCACATTACAAGGCGAATGCTAAATGGCTCAGCGTTGTCTCCCTTCCAGCTTCCTTTTATTTCACTTTACATGCTTTACACAATTCTCATTTAATAATTGTGCCTGTCTTTGCTTAACTCTGCACATCAGTGGCTTTTCTTCTTTCAAAGCTCCTTGCTATGGTTCAAGTGCATTGTCTAAAGCTTATGTGAACGCCCAAATTTTGTTGAACAAAAATTCCTCTTAAACTCTAGGTTCATGCCTTTTGGGATATGAATTAGATTAAAAGCCAAATACTTTCCTGCTTAAATGATCGTGTTATTTTGTTGTCCTAGTTATCATGATTTTCTTAACTGTTTTGCAGGCCTGGGTAAAAGGCTCCACCTGGATTCCAATTTTTGATGTTGATACTAGTTTAGAACTTGGTATTCTTTCCCGGAAAGCAACAAACTTTTTGCTGGGTAACAAACTTTCCTTTTTACTATCTTTGTAGTTACTCAATGAGACACAAAGACACACAGCTTAACTCCAGTAAAAGAGATGCGTACCTTGTGTTGTGTATAATTATCAATTTGTGGTACGTCACAAGTGTAGACATCATCCCTTCTCTTTCTTTCTTCATTGTATTCCTTCGTGAGGATTGCTTTGCTTCTTATTGTGCAACAATAAACCCTCTATGAAGTGCAAATGACAGATCTTTATAAAGAAATGAAAAGTCTATATATTTGATGAGCCTCCAATGGACTTTATATACAAAGGAAGTAACCAATAGTGCTAAGATAACTCCTAGAAAGTAGGAAAATATAACTAGTACAAAAAACAAATTAACTGAAAAAGCTAAAATCCAGTTGATACTAAACTGTAGCCTAATATAACTGAACATGGACCCATTCAAACCTAACAGCAAGTGGTAAGTTGTAACAATAGTAGTACATGTGCTATTACGCCCCTTCAAGTTAGGCATGAAGATACAACGCCTAACTGGGGAAACATGCGTTGGAAGGCCGGCTTGGACAATGGTTTGGTGAGTGAATCTGCAAGTTGATCAACGAAGTGGATATGCGATATGCGGACTAGGCCGCTGTGGACTTGGTTACGAACAAAGTGAAGATCAACCTCAAGGTGCTTCATTTTAGCATGATGTACTGGATTCTCGGCAATGTAAGTGACCCCAAGGTTATCACAAAGTATTATAGGAGCAGCAGAGAGCGGCACATGAAGATCTTTGAGCAAGTGTCTGATCCAGTTTGTTTCAGACAAGGCAGAAGCAACGACATGATACACTGACTCAGTGGAGGAGCGAGAGACAGTAGGTTGCTTACGAGAACACCAGGAAATAGGCGTCGTGCCAAGATAAACAATGTAATCAGAGATCGAGCGGTGATCATTGATATCACCCGCCCAATTGGCATCAACATAGGTATAGAGAGCAGTTGAAGGTTGTGGGGAAATACGAACATGCTGGGATGTTTCTTTAAGATATCAAAGGATCCATTTAACTGCCTTCCAGTGAACCACAGAGGGAGAGGAGAGGTGTTGAACTGGGTAAGCTTGTTTACCGAATAGGTGATGTCAGGTTGGGTAAACGAGAGGTACTGAAGCTTACCAAGCACAGATATATACTCTTTGCCATCGGTTTTGGGTGCTCCGTCATCAAGCAGTAGTTTCACGGACTTTCTTATGGGTGACTGAGCACCTTTGCAGTCTTGCATCTGAGTATCATATAGCACCTCCTGTATATACTTAGATTGACTAAGAAACAAACCGTCGACATTCTTGTATACCTCTATGCCCAAGAAATAGTGCAGTAAACCAAGATTCTTTAGAAAAAACTTTTCGAAACAGAGGTAATTACATGTTGAATGAGTATTTCATTACTGCCCTTGAGTATGAGGCCATTCACATATATCAGAATATAAATAGTAACTCCCAGATTGTGCAGAACAAAAAGAGAATTATCACATTGCGACATTTAGAACCCCATTTGAATCAACGTAGCAATGAGTGCATCATACCAGGCCTTAAGAGCTTGTCGAAGTCCGTAAATGGCCTTCTTGAGATGGCAGACATAGTCGGGATGATCCAAATTTTCATAGTCGGGAGGTTGACATATATACGTCTTCATGAAGCTTCCCCTAAAGAAACACATTGTTGACATCTATCTGATGCAGTGCCCAATTATTTTGTACAGCAAGAGTGAGTACTGTCCGAATGGTGGTGGGTTTAACCACCGAACTAAATCTCTTGCAAAAATCAACCCCAAGCCTTTGGATGAACCCTTTTGCAACTAAACGTGCTTTGTACCTATCAATGGATCCATCAGAGTTACTTTTAATTCGAAATAACCACTTACAAGAGACAATGTTTCTGGGGTGGTCTGGTCTGGTGGAACTAACTCCCAAGTCTGGTTTTTCATCGGTGCATCAAATTCAGCCTTCATAGGGTCTCTCTAATTTGAATCTTTTTGTGCTTGCTTGTGAGTTACAGGTATTGGATGTGTTTCTGGCTGGGAGATTTTTGCAGTGTAATCAACGTTTTTTCTTCGCTTGAAAATGTTGTTTTGTAACATCATTACTACACGATTTGGCTCTATTTGTGGAACATGAACAATGGTATCAGTGGGTCGGGGCAAACTGTGTGATGAGTTTGGGCGACACCGATAAACCTGAGTAATTGGTGGTCGGCGAGTTGAGGAGATAGGATGAGTAGAGGGGGCGGAGGGTTGGCTCTGGAAGACGAAGTGGGGCTGTAGGTTTTCAGTAGCAGGTGATTGCTGAAATGCATTAGAAGAAGAAGATAAAGAAGCAGTTTGATTGTTACCTGGGTCATGAGTTGCAGATTGATCTGCCTGTCGGTTGTTCCCTTGTGCGGCATGAAATGAACATACATCTTGGCGTGTATTTCGCATCAAAGGCATAGTGGGGGGGGGGCAGCTGAGTGATAGTTGTATCAATCATATTTTTTGGTTGACAGAAAATATTATGATTATTCTGATCTAAAAGAGTTCACAATAACAACAACAACAAACCCAGTTTGATCTCAACAGGTGGGGTCTGGGAAGGATAGTCTGTACGTAGACCTTACCCCTACCTAATGCAGGTAGAGAGGCTATTTCCAATGATCTAAAAGAGTTTCCCAATTTAAAATGAGAAGTTCTATTTTAAGTTTTAACTGAGAAAATATATTTTCAAATGGGAAAATATCTTCTAAAAATTTTACATCCCGGGATAGCATGACAATCTGGGCCTTCCATGTAGTGAAATTATGACTACCAGAATTTTATGACTACCAGACAATTTAATGGGCAACTGAGATGATGGGTTGAATTGGATTAGGTGTTTGAAAACCGTGGTGTTGTCGACAATAACAACTGGTGTGGAGGAACTCATTTTTGCAAAGGGGAAAAAAATGATCTTGGATAGTTTACTCGTTAGAGTGTTGTTTTGGCTATGAGACCATATAAAGGCAGAAAACTAGAATGAAAAGTCTGTATAGTTGATGAGACTCTAATGGAGTTTATATGCAAAGGAAGTAACCAATTGTGCTAAGCTAACTCCTAGAAAGTAGGAAAATATAACTAGTACAAAAAACAAATTAACTGAAAAAGCTAAAATCCAGTTGATACTAAATTGTAGCCTAATGTAACTGAACAAGGACCCATTAAAACCTAACAGCAAGTGCTAAGATGTAACACCAGTTGTACATGTGCTATTATTCTTCAGTTGGATATAATCACAATTTGGAGTACGAAATTTAGTTGTTCAGATTGTTAATCTTTTGTTTGACATTTTGCTTACAAAATTTAATCTTCTTCAAACTATTGCACAAAGCATGTGTAAAAACCTCTTTGGAGTACCCGTGCAACATAATCCTTTTCTAGTTCGTATAACAATGGAACAATCTCGAGTTGATTTGAAAATAGTGACAGAAAAATTTCTTTCACAAGAGAAATATACCACGACGATCTCTTTTCTTTATATGATTGACTTAATATATCTCAGATTGGTTGTGTTTGATACGCTTGCATATAAATTTGTAATTAAATAAATAAACGTCTTTTTGATTGTCATAGTGGTCTTCCGGAAACAGCCTCTCTGTCTTTTTGAAGGCAGGAGTAAGGTCTGCGTACACTCTACCCTCTCAAGACCCCACTTGTGGGACTACACTGGGTTTTTTGTTGTTGTTGTTGTTGACTGTCATAGTGCATTCTCTAAGGTTCTGATCGCTAATTCATGTATCTTCTTCACAATAGGAGGTTGGTGGAGTGGTGTGCCTTCTCTCTCTTACAACAAGTATGCTATAAACAACCCTTTTATATTTAACTCGTAGATTTGTTCTTTGTTTCAGTTCCTTATTTTCATTATAAAGTATGAAATAATATCCTTTACAGACAATTCTTATCAAATGTTGAGGAGAAATTTGCCAAAGATACAGATCTCATTGTGGCATGCCAGAAGGGATTGAGGTGAATTTATCTGTCTATTAACCACATTTCAGATTCTCTACTATAAAGTAAAACTTTGCACTCTGCTGAATAGAAGTAGCTCGGGAAGAATCTGGGTGAAATTAGTCAGTATACTACTGTTGCAAAGGGAGTGGATGTTCATGTATCTCCATGGTGGCCCAAGTTTACAATTCAATTTGAATTATGAGAATCTGGAATTTTCAATGGTATCGAATATGACAATTCAATATGTAACTATCTGATGTATCATAAATCGAATCCTTTGTAGCATAACACTCGACTGCTTTCTAGCACATTAAAAGGAGCAATCGAAGAGTGCGTATAGATCTAACTGGCAGAGTGTCACTTTCTGAGGTAGAAAGCGTCTCGTGCTCGTAGTAGGTCCATAGTCAGACAGATAAGAGTAGGCACTGAAAGATCCTTATGTTCAAGACAAATCTGGTAATTTGTGTTCCTTATTGCTCATGCGTAACCCTTTGCATCAGGCAGGTCCATTGCGGCTTGTGAGGTGCTATACAATGCTGGTTACAACAACATTTTCTGGGTTCAAGGTGGTTTAGAAGCTGCTGAAGAAGAGGTTTCACGTTAATCTTACTTATGTCTTTTTTGCTTTTATAAATATTCACCTTTCCAGAATACAAGTTCATATATTTAAATACAATTTGGATCAGGATCTTGAAAGAGAAGGTCCTCAACCATTTAAGTTCGCAGGAATTGGGGGGCTTTCAGAATTCCTCGGGTAATTATTTCATGCTTGTGCCTGTACTTCTAGATGCCTTCATATCTGATAATGACTTCTTACTTCTGGTGTCTAAATTCTGATGTAAAACAGCTGTATGTCATCCTTATCTGTTTATAAAGTACAATCTCATGTCATGTAACCACAGATGATGTCATCAATTAAGCACTGCACCTGTATATCACAAGTTCTTTCTATCACTTTGAATAAATAGCACAATGTATGCACTTTACTACTGGAGATGCTCTTTCTGATTGTTCATTTGAGCTAGCTTTCTAGAGTGAAAGGAATATTTATCTCTCTTTACGAATGTGTCGCCATTTCTATGATTCAAAGGATTTCACTAGCTATACTGGTAGCACATACCTGAAGTAAGGGCACGTAGGTTACTCATGCCAAACAAACATCCAATAGATTGCCTCTCATTAAGAAGTATTCACCACATATTCTAGTTGATTATTTATCAAAATTACAAGCTCTCTTTATCATAGTGAGTTGGTGCTTGGGAGAAAATCTTAGATCACAGACTTGTACGTGAGAGATGTTAGTGCTGATACTCTACTGCGGAGTCGGTTCCAGTAGTAAGAGAGTTCTCAGATTTTGTCATAAAGTGCTGCAGAAATAGACCTGTAGTTGCATGTCCCATTAACTTTTGTCATAAAGTGGTTTTCTTTGTAATCACTTACAATTATTTGGATATTGTCAGTTGGACTGACCAACAGAGAGATGCTGCTGCTAAAGAAGGTTGGGGTTACCGATTGACTTTTTCTGCCCGATTGGTACTTTGTTCCCTTCCCTTTGTGAATAGAACAATATTCTGGTTCTTTAGTGAACTAATGCTTTCTGCCACAGGTTGGAGTCGTTCTTGCTGCTGATGCCCTGTTTATTGGAGCACAGAAAGTAGGACAATATATTCAGGAGTTAAGGACTCACTGAGATCTGTAGTTAGAGCTTGAAGTTACGCGTGTTGCGCGCCTTGCAGCCATAAGGAAATGATTTTGTTTTCTGAATTCAGTAATGAGTTAAGCGGCTTTCCTAGCATCCTTTTCTGAAGCTAGAGAACTGAGATGAAAATCCATTGGCAGGAGTGTCTCAGAGCCTGGGCTCCTGCCCCAACCTTTAAATGCCTTGTTTTTCGCTGAAACATTTTTAACTGAGGTCTTCTCATGTAGGACACAATGCAGTTTTGCCTTATTAATTTGTGTGATGTGAGTACACTTCAATGGTTGATGATCCTTAATCTGCATTAATATAGCTTGATCCAGGTTTGAATATTAAGTATGAGTTGTCCTATATTTACAAATTTGCGGCTTGGCATGCCGGATTTATGCAGTACCCATGTTCATACATCATGATTATGAAAGCTAGGGAAATTGAAGGGTCCCGGACTCCACAAAATTATGTATACTCTTTGAGCTGTTTTTTTACCTACCGACTTTCTTTTCTTGATTAGGTAATGAATCAACCAAGTTTTCTACTGAGGTCCTCCTACATGTAAGCCTCTGGAGATTTTACCCTGATGTATTATCTCGAATTGTTCATCTACTTTATTCAAAATTGTGATAGAGTTGTGTTTTGTCTTGTTTTGTGCCATCACACATCAGAAATTTGATGGGTATGATCTAAAAATCTCTTCGTCTACCAGCCTTAAGAGTAACAGCTAAAAGTCTTTACTCTGAGGTCAATGGTGATACCCATGAATCTTTAAATGTTTTCGTGTGATTCTAGATTACTCCCTATTATACGGGCATTGCCTAAAATCATCTCTGTGGCTTTTGCATCCAAGGGCGTGGCATAGCAGTCAAAGAAGTGGGTGAAAATCAGTGTTCAAATCCTAGCAGAGACCAAAAACATTAGGTGACTCTTTTCCCATTCGCCTAAACCTTGGTGGCCAAAGTTACTTGGTACCTGTGATAGTGGGTGATAGCAGTTACTCAGTGGAATAGTCGATATACGAGATGCGTACAAGCTGACCCACACACACCAGGATTATTCAAAAAACAAAAGTCTGGATTTCTTGGGACTAAGTAATACTGCTGCTGGAGGATATAGTGTGAAGGCTTCTTGTCGAGCAGCTTTTCCTGGTGCAACTGCAGGTGTTACGACCCAAAAACCGACCCAATCGTGATGGCGCCTATCGTGAAACAAGGCCAGCCAAACCATTTTCAAATACTCCATATTTCATTTAAGGCTTCAGTAAAATAATATTTTAACAGAAATCTGATAAAAGGTAATAGTATAAAATCAAAACGAGTGGAAAGAAAGTGCAAGCCCGACCTCGGGTGTCACTAAGTCATATGCAAAATACTACAACTGTTCGAAATAAACAAGACTACATAGTCTGAGAATATCCAACAAAAGTACTATAAGGAAGATAAGGAAGGAGAACACGGAACTGCGATCGCCAGGCAGCTACCTCGCAATCTCCACAAAAAGTCTCCAACTAGTATGATCAGCAACCGCAACCGTGCCCCAAGATACCTGGATCTGCACACAGGGGTATAGGGGGTAACATGAGTACACCAACTTAGTAAGTAATAAGTCCAAACTATGGACTGGCGGTAGTGACGAACCAGACCTCTACAGGTAGTAACATTTAATTGCACAGAAAAGTAGACATGCTTGCAGTTCAAGTAAATTCTCAGTAGTGACTAAACACAGTATGAACAATACAGAGTATAAAGCTCAGGAACCTCTAAGTGCCAATGCACATATAGCATGATCAATGTTACGTATAATACGTCGACTCACAAGTGCTCAACCACTCGGTACTGTATATGGCCATCCGGCCCAGGGAAGATCCATCCCGGAATATATACATCACTGACCGTAGTCATCCAGTACCGAGGAAGGCCATTCCAGCCCTAAGGAGAAGATCCATCTCCAGGTATCAATACTTCAGACAAGATCCATGTCCATGGAAGATCCATCCCTCAATATCATCAACTGCGCTCACTGGGGGTGTAAAGACTCCGAAGGGACTTCTCTTAACCCAAGCGCTATATCAAGCCAATGAAGGCATGATCAATATCTCGCTGCGGCGTGCAGCCCGATCCCATACTGTCACTCAATATTAGGCTCTCGGTCTCACTCAGTCATTACTCTCTAGTCTCACATACACGAGCTCAAAAATGTCATGATACTAGCCCGAATGATGATATGATATGTCAAATAGCAATAATCAATACTGATGTATGATATAATATGAATGAACAAGACTGACTACGGAATAGTAATGAAGCTAATGATATGACGACAAGACACAACTTCTCGGGTCTCAACAGTATTGGCGTGAAGCCTTAACATGATAATTAGAATGATTTACAGTTCATTAACTTAATCACATAATTACAACACAGATATCAACATGAAAGAGTCATTAAGCGGTGCCATGGAATGACCCAGGCCGCAATTCTCACGGTACACGCCTACACGCCCATCACTTGGCATTTGCGTCACCTCAGTAGTAATCATAGAATATGTAGTTCGGGGTTTCGAACCCTCAGAATCATGTTTGGAAGCGTTACTTACCTCAAGCCAAGCCAAACTCTAGCCCGCGACGCCCTTGCCTCTCGATTCGGCCTCCAAATGCCCCGAATCTAACCAAAATCAGTATACAACCATCAATATATGCTAAATGAGTGAAACCCATACAAAAATTATCAATTTAACTCAAAAATCCCGAAATTGGCCAAACTCGACCCCCGGTCCCACATCTTGCATTCCTATAAAATTTACAAAACTAAAATCCTTAGACTCTCACGAGTTCATACATACCAAATACACCAAAATACGACCACAAACGACCCCTCAAATCCCTAAATCAAAGTCTCCAATTCCAAGCCCTAATCTCCCAACTTTCTTCCCTAATTCTCCACTAATACCATGATTAAAGAATGGAAAAATGGTCATAAACACAAGTGATAAAGCTTAAGTAGCTTACCCAACTGAAAACCTTCGATTCCCTTGAAAAATCACTGCACTATCTCTCTTCCAGTCTTAAAAAAATGGTGAAACTTAGCAAAAATTCACAAAGACATCTATTTATATGTTCTGCCCAGCGATATCGCACCTGCAGCCTTATTAATCGCACCTGAGGACGCACACCTGCGGTCCCAGGTGCGCACCTGCGGAAGTCACTTATTTGCCCAAAACCACATCTGCGCTCAAATACCCGCACCTGCGTCATCGTAGTTGCGCTCAGCTCCCCGCTTCTGCGGCTCCTACCTTTCACAACCTTAGCCGCATCTTCGGCCCTTTCCCTGCTTTTGCGGGCCTGCACATGCGGTCCCCAATCCGCATGTGTGGTTATGAGAGGAACTCAGCAGCTTCAACTGCAAACTCTAACCTCCAACTTCCCGATAACCATCCGAAAACATCCCAAGGCCCTCGTAACCTCAACCAAAGGTAAGAACAAGTCATATAAAACTATTCAAACTTGTACCAATCTTCAAAACACTCAAAACAACATCAAATCATCAAAACACCCTCAGATTCAAGCCTAAGGATTCCAAAAACTTCCAAATTCCGCAAACGATTAAAATATCCATCAAACCACCTCCGAATGACCTGAAATTTTGCACACATGTCACTAATGCACAACAGACCTACTTCAATTTCCGGAATTCCATTTTGACCCTGGTATCAAAATTTTCACCATCAACCAGAAAGCGCCAAAATTTCAATTTCGCCAATTCAAGCCTAAATCTACCACGGACCTCCATATTACATTCCGAACACGCTCCTAAGTCCCAAATCACCTCACAAAGCTATTTGAATCATAAAACCCAAATTTCGAGATCGTTTACTCACAAGTCAGCTTCCGGTTGACTTTTCTAGCTAAATGGCCCACTTAAGAGACTAAGTGTCTCATTCCTCTACAAATCCACTCCGAACCCAAACCGACCAACCCGATACCACATAATATAGCTGAACAAGACATAAAGAAGCAGAAATGGGGGAAACAGAGCGGTAACTCATAAAACGACCGGCCGGGTCATTACATCCTCCCCCTCTTAAATAAACATTCATCCTCAAACTAGTCAAGAAACATACCTGAAGCCTCAAATAGGTGAGGAAATCTGCTCTGCATCTCCCGCTCGGTCTCCCAGGCAGCCTCCTCCATGAGCCGACTGATCAGTGCCAACCCTACACCACTACAAAGTGGCAAGAGTGGTCGAAGCAGCTTTTACTTGGGATGGTCGTGATCTAATCCACATGGAGCTAGAATTAGGAATTTCATTCCTATCTAAACTAGTAGTGCATAGTGCTCTTAATTACACTCCCAATCATGTTTGTTTGTTTTGTTACTTCTAATTTTTATACTTTTAGTATGCTAAATTAAACTAATAATAATTGCTTGTAAGGTTTTCTAAATAATTAAAGAGGTACTAGGGAAATGACTTTCTCCTTGGTGAATACTTGACGGGATCTAAAGCCTAAGGTAAAGTTGTTATGTAGGGGATTGCGATATAGCCAATGCATGGAACTACTCACTTTATACCTCTTGGTAGCTTGAGTGACTTTGCCCTAATTGACTTTTTCAAGACCAATTGAGTGTCAAAATTGTGCAAGCAATATAGGCTCAAGTCGGGTATTACTATCTCTAGGTTTAACCCTTTAATTGGGGCTACCAATCTCTTGATTACACCCAATTCCTTATTGGACTGATTTTCCTAGTATCAAGCACTCTTTCTCAAGAAGAGCCCAAGTCAAATAGGCACAAATTAGTGTTTGTAACCACCAATTTAACATGGAAAAACAAAAATCAGTCCAAATATCAACTACCCATAAATATCTAAGCCTTAGAACAAAAGACCCATCAAATACCTACACTAGGGTTGAGCCACAACCCTAGATAATGGGTCTAGCTACTCATAATAATAGAAGAAAATAGAAAAATAGATGAAGAATAACCCATATGATTTGATTACAAACTAAGATAATGAAGATTCAGTGTTAATCTAGCTACAAATTACTCAAAATGGAACTAAAACGTCGTTCACGTGCTCTGGTCTCTAATAGATTACAAAAGATGCCCTAAAAATGTGAAAAGAAAGTATTTATACCAGACCGAATTTCTTGGACAAAAATAACCTTGACGGAGGTACTGCGGTCCGCATAAAATGCACCGCGGATCGCGATGAGGCTTCTTGGCTTGACTATTCACTCTCTAAATCTGGCCACCGCGGGCCGCATAAAATGCACCTCAATCGTAGTGGCTTAACTACGGTCCGCACAAAAAAGGACCGCGGACCGCATGGGCTTCCATCTTCAAA